GGTTCAGCCTCAGCCCATTCTCCTGCATCCATCCCAGTACGGCCTCCAGGCAGCGCTGAAGGGACAGGACAGCATCACCTGTATCAGGTGAAAAGGAGATGTAGAGCTGGGTGTCATCAGCATATTGGTGACACGAAGCCCCACATCCCCGGATGACCCCACCCAGCGGCCTCATATAGATGTTAAACAGCGTTGGGGAGATGATCGACCCCTGTGGAACCCCACAATTGAGACTCCACGGGGCCGAGACACTCTCCCCAAGCTGGACTCTCTGGGGACGGTCCTCCAAGAAGGAACGGAGCCAGGCAAGAGCCGAGCCACCAATTCCCAACTCGGAGAGCCTCCCCAGGAGGATACCGTGGTCGACGGTATCAAAGGCCGCTGAGATGTCGAGGAGGACCAACAGAGAAATTTTTCCCCTGTCGGCCTCCCTCAACAGGTCATCATACAGGGCGACCAATGCCGTCTCTGTACCGTGGCGCGGCCTGAAGCCCGACTGGAATGGATCCAAGGCATCTGTTTCATCCAAGTATGCCTGAAGCTGGTCGGCCACCACCCTCTCCACCACTTTGCTCATGAAAGAAACATTGGCGACGGGCCTATAATTGCCAATTTCGTCCGCCGCCAAGCTAGGTTTCTTTCTTATGGGCCTAATGAGTGTCTCCTTGAGGGCAGAGGGAAACCTGCCCTCAAGGAAAGACCCATTTATTATTGCAGTGGCCCATTCAGTTGTTATCGGCCTGGCTGCTTTGATTAGCCAGGCCGGGCAAGGGTCCAAGGAGGAGGTGGTGGCACGACAGCGGTCAAGCACCTTGGCCACAGTATCAGGGATGACAGGCTGAAAGGAGTCAAAGGTCACCGGGCAAGACGGAGCGCTGGACATCTCTGCTCGACTCACTGTGTTCAAAAACGGAGAGAGGTCCCGGCGGATGGCCTCCACTTTAGCTTTAAAAAAGGCTGCAAACTGGTCAGGCGAAAAACTAGGGGGAGGCCTATCACCCGAACCAGTTCCGGATAGGTCGTGCACTATACGGAACAGCTCCGCCTGCTGATTTGATGCTTCGCTTATCCGGTTAGCGAAGAATGATCGACATGCAGCCTTTACCTTAGTTAGGTAAAGGTTAGTTGCGACCTTGACAGCTATCCAATTAAAATCTGTCGGGTGTCTAAGGTCAGACCTGGGCGTCTAAGGTCAGACCTGGGTCAAGGAGCACCCCCAAGCTGCAGACCTTGTCCTTTAGGTGGAGTGTAACCCTGTCTAGGGCAGGGAAATGGCCCTTTAACCTATCTGGTGGAGCACCTACCAGCAGCACTTTCGACTTGACTGGATTTAGCCTCAGTTTGATTGGATTGAGCCTCATCCAGTCCATTATTGAGTCCAGCCATGAGTTCAGAATGGCAACTGCCTCACCTGGATTGGTAGAGAATGAGAGGTAGAGCTGGGTGTCGTCAGCATATTGCTGACTCCTCAGCCCAAACAACTTCCCCCAGTGGTTTCATGTAGATATTGAACAGCATGGGGGACAGTATAGAGCCCTGAGGATCAGAACTACTGTCCCTCAACACCACCTTCTGGACCTGATCAGCCAGGTAGGAGTGAAACCACCATAAAATGGTGCCTCCCATTCCTATCCCAGCCAATTGGTCCAGAAAGACACCATGGTCAATAGTGTTGAAAGCTGCTGAGAGGTCCAGGTGAATCAACAAGGACGCATTCCCTCTGTCTCTCTCCCGGTAAAGGTCATCAAACAAGGTGACCAAGGCAGTCTCCATCCCATAACCCGGCCTGAAACCCAATTGAAATGGATCTAGATAATCCGTTTCATCCAGGAGAGCCTGGAGCTGCTAGCCACCACACGTTTCAACACCTTGCCCAGCAAAGGGAAGTTCACCACTGGTCGATAGTTGATTACTAGACCTGGGTCCAGATTAGGCTTTTTTAGGAGTGGATGAATCATTGCCTCCTTTAACAGGGCGGGGACCACTCCCTCTCTTAATGAGGAGTTGATGACCTCCAGGATTCTTATCAAATTAAGACTGAGATGGTTTGTTTAAATATGCCCCATTTTAAATGTTATGCATTTTTTATTCGTGGGTATAATTTAGCTTGGAAGGAACATATTACAAATGAAACAATGTGTGGAATAATAAGGGCATAACCACTTTACTTTTAAAAAGTAATGACTTACATTATTATTACTTTTCCTATGTTCTCTGTTACTTTTCTTGTTACTTTCGGGTTGCTATAATGCTTTTTGGAAGGCATGTTGAGATTTTCTTTTCTTCCTATTTTCAAGTGACTGTCTTATCTTTTCGGATCCCTATTCCCCAAGAACTAAAAATGGAATGAAAAATGATGGCAAGCACGGGGGTATAACAACAGTAATTTACTATTTGGGGAGATGATTGCAATGACTTATGAATTACTTTTAAAGATTAACATTCCATACTGTGTTTAGGAAGCTACCTATAAATAATATAAGTCCTACATTGTTAAAGTTACTGTAATTGCTGTATTTGTTTCAAGTTAAATTTATGGAGACTGCAACTTCTATTAGCAATGGCAAAGCTTATAGAAAAGTAACATGCAACAATATGATGTGGTGATTTGCAAGGAAAAGTACAGCTGTGTGATAATGGAAGTCGCTCCCCCCTTGCAACTATATCGTCATATCTTGTTCATATCCATCAGTTCATCTTATGTCACCTACCTATAAGTACAAATGTACGGTAGCATTTAACAACAGTCTGTTTCCTTAAATTGTGATTTTTCTCCAAGAAAGTCACTGTGATGGATGGAACCTCTTTCAGGCTTCCAGTGGAAGGAAGCACATATACAGGTTTAGAGCTGAAGTATGTGAACAGAATAAGCTTGCTCACTGCTCTCATGCAAACTATTGTGCAAGTGCTAGTAAAAGTCTTTGTTGTAGAGAGTATTTGATGCTGCATAATAGTATACAAAAGGATTATGCAGCTAGATATCAGTGCATGGGTTGTGTGAAGACCCACTGTAAAGCACTCAAGTAAATAATTTTTGCAGTGGGGAGCTGCTTGTTGGAGCTTTCTCTGCATAAATATAAATTACATTTTAAATTATAAGTTTCAATTTAATTAAAATTGACAACTGTAGTTTAATCACATTCTATATACTCAGTTTCTCAGAGTAATGAGAAGTTCTCAAGGGTACACATTTGGTTGTCTTTAAAAGGAAATCACTGGATCTTTATTGGTGTTTTGTAATATTATCATTTGGTTTTAAATACACAAGTTGAGGGATGGAAATACAGCTTAAACACTTTAATAGATATTTCAAGTCCATTATTCACACTATCTGATGCTTTTCATGCATAAAAGCATCCTCATATCCAATGGTTTTTCTAATTCCCAGCCAGACCATATCCTCTAAATATCAACAAGAATCAGTTGGCTGTTTAGTTCTCATGGCAACATATTGCCTATGGATTGCATAACAAAGCCAGACCAATCCTATTGATTGGATTAAAACCATATGGAATCGAGAAGAAAATCTAGTGATTCGTTTTACACAACTGCTTGTGCCAGAGCTTGCACACATGGTGGAGGAGTATTGTTGGATTTTATTCATCTTTATGGTGTAGCCACAGGCCACTTTCACATAGAATAATAAGCCTGGATGGCTTATTATAGCTGTGTTTGGGCCACACTACCCATTTCTTTTCACTTGGCTCATGTCATCGTGAAAGTAGTTAAATAATCCATAAATGGTTTAATGGTTGTTGTGGGTTTTTCGGGCTCTTTGGCCGTGTTCTGAAGGTTGTTCTTCCTAACGTTTCGCCAGTCTCTGTGGCCGGCATCTTCAGAGGACAGCACAGAGACTGGCAAAACGTTAGGAAGAACAACCTTCAGAACACGGCCAAAGAGTCCGAAAAACCCACAACTATCATTAGATCCCGGCCGTGAAAGCCTTCGCGAATACATAAATGGTTTGTTTAGCATGCCATCCAAACCTACAGACCTGTTTTGTTCCACCTATTTATTCTTAGTTTACAAATCCTGACGTATTTGCGAGCAAGAATCCAGATTCAGGTGTGGTCTGTGGACCACTGTTATAAGTGGCGTCATGTTGCATCAGACTTATGGTGATCCTTTTGAGGATTTTCTAAGTATGGGAGATATTTTAAGGAATGGTTTTACCAGTACAACATACAACCAGTGAGTCTCCATGGACTAGTGGGGATTTTAATTCAGTTCACTGGTAATCCACAACTGTATTGCAGGTCGTCTGTGGGAGAATATATTTGTGGATCAGTGAGATCCCTATCTGCAGGAGGATATGAACTGCACGAACCAGTCACAGAGAGGAAATAATCACAGTGGTAGAGCCTTTCATCAAAAACTTCCAGGAGTTAAATGTAAGATGTGGTCGGTGTCATGAAAATGCTTACTGATAGTGACACACATCACCTGTGGTAGTAAGGCTATCAACTAATACCTCGATTTATAAATATGATTTCCAATAGCCTACACAAGCTTTTGATGATGTAGTAGCAGTCTGTGAAAAGGAAAAGAACAGAAACTGCTCGACTAAAACAGAGAGCCAGGTTCAAATCTCTGTTTAGATATAAAGTGCACGGAGTCATTTTACACCAATCTCACCATAGTCTAATGGGGTTGTTTAAATCAGTGGTCCTCAATCTTGGGCCTCCAGATGTTCTTGGACTGCAGCTCCCAGGAACCTTCACCACCACCTCTGCTGGCCAGGATTTCTGGGAGTTGAAGTCCAATAACATCTGGAAGCCCATGGTTGGGGACCACTGGTTTAAATGATTCTAAGAGAATGGATATGATGATGATAATGATGGCTGAAAAAAGGCAATAACTGATTGGAAGTATTGGTTACATATTTAATCCCTATTTGCTTTCTAGTAAACCTCTGTGAATATAATCCAGAGTTATAATCCCTTAACAGTAGAGGAAATAACAAGGTTTGTGTTTTACTCATGAATACTATCTGATAATGCATAGCAACTGGAATATGACTAAAACACTGTAAAATAATTGGTGATGCTGATGCTGTATTTCAAGCTGAAACAAAAGATGAGGAGAGGTAGCATGGTAAAAGAGGAGTTTTTTCCAGCCTGGCCCTCATGATAATATTTCTTTTTTTCTTCCTTAAAAGGATGTTAACTTTCATTAACGAAGGACATTCCATTGTGAAAAACCCCCCTCTTCATACAGTGTGAAATTATTTTAAATCTGTTTATTTTAAAGTCCAAGTAATAACTTTATACTTTCCATTTAAGATAAAAATGTAATTCAGAGGTTTTGGGGTTTTCTGATACTCATTCTATTCAGATATTTAACCAAATGTGCTGTAAAGAAGATGAAACAGGTTAGCAATTTAAAATATCTTCCAGGCATTTTTTTTTTAAAGGAACTATTCATTATTAAAAGTCACATTTGAGTGCTTTGGGAATAAAAATAATATATAAATTGCCTTATTTAAGAAGGAAAAAGAACTTTTGCATTCTGACTTGTTTTGTAAAATTCTGCTTTCATACATTTCATTTTCTGATTCGTGAAGGACAAGCAAAATCTGGCATGTATCAATATATGGAACCATATTAAGAATATATTTCCAGAACATTTTAACTATTTTATATGTAATTTGAAAAGTTAACACAGAGATGACTGTTAGAACCACGCTGTAAGTGTTTTTAGGGTTTAATTCATTGAGAAATAAATCATTTGGGAAAACAGTACTTCAAAAAGAACAAAATCTACAGTCATTCCTAAGATGTCATTTTAATGTTTGCTGTTTTTGTTTTAATTCTGCCTGAACGTGCACCTGTCATTTAAACATAGATGAGGTCATATTATTGCTCTTTACACAATACTTTGTATTCTTACAGATCTACTGGGCTGCAAAATCTAATACAAATTATTACAGAAACCAAGAGAAGTTTGGAGGCCGCTAAGATAGGAGGGCCTGGCGTGCTCTGATCCATGGGTTCACGAAGAGTCGGACACAACTGAACAACAACAACAACAATTTTGTCTAATGTGCCCTTTCCCCCTTGACAAGAATAAGGCTTCATGAGCTTTAGCAACTAATTTAGCTTCCTCAGCTTTATGTGTTCACAAACATGGGTAAGCAGAACTGCACCACCACTACCAACACCAACACCACCCTTAAGCAGGGAACATATTAAGTCAGTTTGTTCTGCCAAATGTGCATTCTCTAGCACATTATGTAGCTCTGGGTGCTACTGGCCTGTATATATTGTATATTTAAAAAAATAAGAAATAGAGCACTTTTTTACCTTCATTGTTCTCTCTGGTGCCACTAATGATGTCATTTGCTGAACACCTGCCGTTTTCTTCCTCTGTTAACTGTGTGACAGGTTCATGTTCCAATATGGCATCCAGTTCATGAAAAAACTTCATGGTCTTTGTGGCATCTCCAGAACTGTGGGCATATTTAACTGTCCTATATTCATATTTCAGGTTTTTATACTTTGCACGACATTGTTTCCAGTCTCTGCAGATCCCCAACTCCTGTAGCCTTTTAGCAATGTAAATAAATATCCCTTTATTCCTTAGTGTTCCATGGAGCTGTTTTCTGATGTTTTTTTCTGACCAGACGCTTAACAAGGCTTTAACCTCCTCTTCAGTCCAGTGCCTTCCTGCTCCACTCTCCATGTTGAAAGTGACCTGGAAATGATTCACTATTTCTAGCCAAGATTTTGTTTCCTAGGAAACCAGACGGCTGATTGTCAGTAAGCTCTACAGAGATGAAAGGATCCAGTTTTACTGGCTCAAGCTGCCTGAGGGGAGTAACTTGAGAAACTGCCAAATAAGCAGGTTCCGTATTTGAGGCAGGCAAATAAAGCAGCTCAGGCACAAATGATTACAAAGTATATTAACGATTGGCATCCCAGAATAAACAGTTTTCTGCTTGACAGAAAGTAAGCATAAAAATCCATTATTTGACTCATATTAGCCAGTTTGCTTTAAATATAATCATAGCTTTGTAGTGAATGTTTATATACATTCAGCTCTGAATACGTGCTGCAGTTTGCTCAGACTGAATTGCAGTAGATTTGTACCTTTCTGCTCTGCATGTTCGCTAGCAACTATTTGCCTTTCATTTCAGTATGTTTATGTTTAGTTTAGGATTGCTATTTAAGTCAGCTATTCATAATCCAGCAGGTAAACTGATTTAGTTGTTCTTATGTGCCATAAAGGCACTTCTAATTCCAGTAGTGTTAGGGAATGGTTTGCCATTGCCACCTCATCAGGAGTTTCCATGGCTGATCCGGGATTTGAACTCAGTTCTCCTGAGTCCTAATCTGACATTGCATCTGCTGTACCATGATAGTTTACCATGTTGGTTGAATCTATTCTGAATGCAAATTTATTAGTTGGAGCCCCTATTTAGGAATTTTGTGATTCACGGCACAAATACGTCTGTTCTGAGAACGAAAATGTGTTAGCAGTTTCATGTAGGTAAGAAAAAAAGAGAAAAGCCATTTGTCTGAGCTTCTCTCTTTTTCCTAAGGATGTTTTGATCTAGGTTGGTGTGTGAAGAGAGACCAAAACAAGGACAAATGGCAGTTTAAATCAAGTAGAGATGATAGGCCACAGTTTTTAGACTCTGGGCTGTTAACATTTTGGGTTGCTGGCTATCTTGCTCAGAGATCTGGTGTGGGAAAAGTGGACTTTTGCCTTTCTGACACAGTACTTAAGCTATAAATCTGCCTGTGCTCAGCCTGTACATTTGTAAATAAGTATAAATATTACAAATCATCAATAAACTTCCAGTGACCTCCTCTTAGAGAAAAATCACACACGGGCAAGCACTGTACTCCTGGAATTATGCAATACCTGAAGAAATGTGTGTGTAAGTAAAAGTAACAGTAGTGTGTCCTGCCTCTAAATCATGTCATCTGTTTCTAAGGTCACAAAATCACAATTTCCTTTGTGAGGATGAAGATAGAAGTGAGAAAAGAGGGTACATGTGTACCTGCCGTTTAGGGCTCAAAGCAGTCTTGGACTTCGTGGTTGCATTTTGTCCCGGCAGATGTGGATGGTTTGTGTGATTCATAGAAGAGTAAAAACATGATTTGTATCCTGCAGGTGTATGTGGAACATGGGTTATATCTCTCTGGTGTACAGTTGGGACTGGAAACAACATGTTACATTTCTATTCAAGATTCCAGCTAACCATGCCCTGTTGCAGGAGACTGCATAGCGTCTCCACTAGCCAATTCTTCCCGTCCTATGAATTCTTGATAGCCTGTACTTTGGGTGGTGCAATGTTGCTTTCTTGGGGGTTCTTCAGAAAAAAATCTTGGGGTTCTCTCATGTCTACTAAAATATGTATAAATTGGTTCCATTTTAATTACAACAAGGCCTTCACTTGGGACAGTAGAATTGCCACTGATACATAGGATTTTAGTTTTGGTACCTTACCTGCTTTTCTTTTTCCTTTTTTTAAATAGAGGCCAAGAGAGTGCTGGGATTGTGACAAGTGATGGAGAGTCAGCCCATACATTTAAAATACACAAGGTAAAATTGAAACTTTGTTTTTATTTATGTAATTAAAAGAAAGTGTGGCTTTGATTTTAATAAAAGAAGGCTGAGACACCTGTATATATCCTATATATTACCTATTAAGAGGCTTCCTGGATGTGAGGTAGTTTTTTTGTTCATTGATAGGTTTGGTTTTATACGTCAGAAATCCTAATGTAATAGTTTCCTAAAACATTTTGCCACATTATAACGCTCAATCTTCTGTTTACCCAAGTACCAAGAGCACTATTAAAGGAACAATTTTACTTAGAAAATGTTGTGCAGTTTCCTTCAAGCTACCCTGCACATTTTTATACTTCTTATGTATCCTTTCTGCTCTGATGATTACATATATTAAATGTGCTTCTGTCTTGAAGTGATAGCAAAATGTTTCCTAGTTGCGACAGCTAAGCAGAGTTTTCCCATGCGCAATGGGAAAATGTCTGCTGCTTTACAGATGCTGAAATTTCCTTACCCATAGAAGAAACACACTGTATCATGTTCAAGATGAAAGTGTGGCTTCCTGACGAGATTAGGTGCAGTGGAAGAAGAAAAGAAAAAAACATCATGTTGTGTTCAGTGAACTTCACAATAGTCCCACCTATAAGGCTTGCAGAATACTAGTGAAGAAATAGGAGGATAAATACTTTCTTATTTAATTAGCAGAAAGGGAATGAACATGTGCAATTTCTTTGAAGGGGCATGGGAAGCATATAGCTCTAACATCAGAAATGTTTTGAATGATACTACCTGATTGTCCCAGATACAAAGAACTCAAATGTATTATTCCCCTACTGCAGTTGAGCATTTAAACGTAACTGAAAGATTCTGAGGCAGCAACAGAATTTTGTGTAAAACTACTTCCTTGCAGTAGGTATCCATCACCCTCCATGCAACCACATTCCATGAAGTGTTTCCATGATTGTCAGAGGGCTGATTGCACTTCCTCAGCAACCATATAACTGCAGTGACTGATTTTTCTGAGCAAACAGTGTGCTAGCTAAAAAAAAAGGGGGGGGGAACAGGTAGGTATTTTGAACAAAATCAAATACTGGCCACCATTGGGAACTGTCTTCAAGAATGTGTCCTCTGTTTTTATTATGCAGGGAATGGGTCTGGTTAATCATGTGTTCAGTGAAGACAGTCTGAAGAAGTTGTATGTTTCAAATCTTGGAATTGGCCACACAAGATATTCTACTTCAGGAGTTTCTGTCTTGGATAATTGTCAACCATTTGTAGTGGAAACACTGCATGGGAAGATTGCTGTAGCCCACAATGGAGAACTCACAAATGCTCCGAGGCTGAGGAGAAAGGTAGGAATAAGCCCAGTGCAGACTTGGATGGATGGATGCTCGTAACATTGTACAAGAGGCAGCAACAAAAACCATCCCAAAGAAAAGGAAATGCAAGAAAGCAAAGCGGCTGTTCAGCGAGGCCTTACAAATAGCAGAGAAGGAAAGGGAAACAACATGAAAAGGAGATAGGGAAAGTTACAGAATATTGAATGCGGACTTCCAAAGAGTAGCAAGGAGAGACAAGAGAGCCTTCTTAAATGAACAGTGCAAAGATATAGAGGAAAATAATAGAAAGGGGAAAAACCAGAGATCTGTTCAAGAAAATTGGAGATATTAAAGGAACATTTTGTGCAAAGATGGACATGATAAAAGACAAAAATGGTAGGGACCTCA